TCTGCCTCCCGAGTGCTGGGACTAAAGGCGTGCGCCACCAAAGCTATACCCACTAATTCTTATTTTTAAATGGTTCTTCATCTTGAGTTACAGGATTTAATCCACTGGTTCCTCCCAGCCTGTGGCTTGTTGCCTTCATGGAAGGTTTTGGGTGACAGGGACCAAAGTTAAAGGGTTTAGGTGAATCACCCAGTAAAAAACTGGAGGGAAATGGGGGGGGGGCTGTCTGAGCAGTGGGGTCCCAGCTGCACCTGGTTCTCTGATGGACTAGACTGAAATGAGGGGATAGGAAGTAGGTGCTGTTGACAACCCAAGTCATTAAAAGAATGGAGCCACCCTTTGCTGGGGTAACAAAGACAGAGATGCTGATCTGGGAGTTAAGCCAGGACCTGGCCTTTGACATGTGACACTTCATGCCTGTCAGCTGTTCCAGTGTAAAGGGTGAGCTTGTGGTTGCAGAGGCTCAAGCACTAAGTGAGAGCCCTCTAACAAAGCTCTGAGGAGACAGGCTGAGTAGGTATGACAGAAAAAGGTCTGAGCTGTCTGGCCTTTAGCACCTGGAAGGCCTGGGCAAAAGCAGCCTGTAGTATGTGCCTGGAGACCATGTGAAGAACAAGCTCCCAGCAGGAAGAGGAGGCTCATGCCACAGATGGAGAAACCCCAGATCTAACCAATACCCACTAAAGGCAAAGTGCTTCTGAGATGTTAAGGTGTAAATATGTAAGCAGTGGATGAGGAAAATGTAAATGTCCCCTAACACCCATGCCCAGAGCAGAAAAATCCCAGCTCCATTGTCACTTTTGAAGCAACTTTATTAGAAGGCTGCTTGCCTTTGACAAAGTCCAGTTACAGCGATAGACTATGCAGAACGGTAATTTTTGCATTGATCTTTGCATCCTATTTGGATTTCCCTCATCAGGTTGTTCTGGGACCGAGGAGGCACAATTGCCAAGTGGCCAGCTGACCACTCATTGAGCAAGGGCAGCCATGGGCCAGGAGGGAGCCCAGGTCACAGGTTAGGGAGGGCAGGCCACCCAGTCCTCCAGTCCTCACCCTCATACCAAATTCCCAGTGAAGCACCCACTGCCTTGTCATTCCAAAAGGGCAAAATAAAGAAATTCTTCCCTCCTCTCCGCCTTTCCCACGACCCTTCCTGGACTGCCAGGGGATGCTTCCCACAGCAAGGTCCTGGTGCCTTTTCCTGTTTCCAGCTGGGAGAGGAATTTCTTTGGACAGTGTAGGCAGCAGGTAAGGTCACTCTGTGGCCACTCTTCCATCTGTCTCCCCACCCCCCACCAGGTGGTGATGGGAAGGTACAATAAACCATGAACATAAAATACGAATAAAAAATGAACTTGACAATGACAGGCTATTAATTAAACAAATCTATAAAAATAGTTAGGACATAACTCTGTTCAAATAAATACAAAATAAATAGGCTCCAAGCAGTGTGATACGCCGTGTGGAATGTGAGGCTGGGCCCACTCCCCCCACAGGACCTTGGAACAGACTTCAAAGCAGCCAAACCACTTCCCTCTGCACCCCCTCCTGCTCTCTCTGTGAGTGAGGCCCATGAGCAGTGTCCAGTTTGCCCTTCTGAACCAAATCCTTTATCCAGTGAGACATGATTAAGGCCTTCAGCATCTTTTCCTTCTCATCATGGCAGCACGCATGGGGCAGATACTCTGCCTCACCCTCATACCACAAAATGGAACAATAAGTATGGTCATGAGCTGATGCCAGTCCTGACAGGGCTTAGGGACAGCTCACAGGACATTAGGCCCATGCAGGCAGCACAAATCCTCTGGGATCCAGGTCCTAGAGTAGCTTTCAGCAAAGCCATGCACCATGGTGCCAGGCAGCCAGTGCCTGAGTACCTGGGCACATCCAGGTAGCCTTGCTGGTGAGCTCAGAAGAGGCAAGGACGTATGGGGTACTCCTTCAGCTTCCCGTACCACAGGTCCCCATGGATGCTGCAGCCTGGGAAACAGGTTTGGAGGACCAGCACTGAGGCAAGAGGGACAAGAAGAAGTGGGGATTTGCCCACTTCCTACCACAGCACATCAATGAGAAAGATGAGAGGGGACACAGGAATGCTCTTTGGACCAGAGGGAGGTTATGGCTGAGGTCTGGCTGCGTGAACGAGATGGAAGAACTAAGCTGGCCTCCAAGCTCACTGTCGGGCAGGCACTGCAGAAAACATCCTGGTTCTAGGTGCAGGAGCCCACATCCTACTGACCTCTGGACCCCAAGAAATGTCCACAGGCCTTCCTTGGAAGGGACACAGGGTCTGCCAGGTCAGCAGGACCAGCCTAGAGCTTGCCAGTCCCTGCCCCTCCCCTGCGGCATCCTGGGTTTCACAGCCTGGGTAAGTCAGCTTAGTGTTGGCACATTCACAGAATGAGATGGCTACACGTCCCGGGCAGCAACCCAGGATCACCAAGTCCACCACCCTCCCGTCACCGAGATTGCACGCCCAGTGTGATCTTCAGGTTCTCGTATACCACGTAGCTAATGCTCACAGCTGGAATCACCTTCATGAAGTTGGGGGCCAGCCCCCTGTATAGCCCAAAGGCCCCCTCAGTCCGCAGAATCTGTTTGAAGAGGCTGCTCATGGTTACCTCGGGCGCACCCTCAATGGAAGCTGTGGGAGAGAGGTCACTGATCAGATGCCACCTGTCAGCCGTCCCAGCTACTAGGGACATAAGTCAGTGCAGCACCAATCTTACCTTGTGCCTGCATCCGGGTCCTGACCAAGGCTAGTGGGTAGCTGGCCAGCTGGCCACAGGGACTGGAGATAGTGCTCCAGGCCAAGAGAACAAACACAAAACACACCAGGGTCTGCACTGTTCACTGCATAGCGCTGTAGCCAGGTATTTTTCAGTGTCTAGAGGCAAACAGGATCAGATGTGAGCCTTAAAGAGCCAGCGTGGGAGAGACATGCTGGGGGTGGGGCAGTTCTGAAATCCACAGGAAAGCTATTTCCTATTACATGAGACCTGAGAAGCCAATGTAAAAGAATTCGCTTGGCCTGGGCCTTGCTGAACTCCTGACTAGCCTACCTTTTGAATCCACTGTCACTTAGGTTCATGGCTAGGACAGGGAGCAAGATGAGGGTGGAAGGAACACTATGTTCCCATACAGAGCACCTGGCCTCTGTGGTCTGGAATCTGAGGAGATCTGTGAGTCCCCAATGGTCACTGTGTTCTGGGGTCATCTGCTGAACCAGTAGACCATAAGAGGACACAGAACCTGGGACAGAGTTTGTACCTGCTGTGCCAGAGGGGCAGGATAACAGGGGCCACTGTAGTGAACAGCTGACTGCTATCTCTCCTCTAAGTATCTCTATCAGGGAGGATGTGGGTACTGGGCAGGCGCTGAATTTCCCTCTGTGGCCCCAGGGTCTATGCCCAATAGGGCCTCACCTCATAGACAGCTAGATCGATGCCAGCATAGGGGATGATCCCCAGCATGTTGGGGATGTAACCTTTGTAGAAAGCAGCTACACCCTCTTTAGCCAAGATCCTCCTGGCACAGTCCAACATGCCCGAGTACTGGCCTGTCTTCCGCAGGGCCATTCGGGTCTTCAAAACCTACAAGGAGAGTGACGAGAATCATGAGTATAACCAATTCCTCCCTGTGTTCCATGTGTGCCACTCACTCCAGGACCCAGTGGCCCTTACCTCCATTGGGTAGATACTACTCTGGGCAACTTCCCCAGCCAAGGAGCCAGCCACAAGCCTTTCATGGATCCTCAGTGTCTCCTGATCACTACCAACAAGGCGCTTCATCTGAAACAGGAAAAACAAAGGGGATATACCTGGGGGCTACAGCATTTCTCCTGGCCCTGTCCTTCCTCTCACAGCCATCAGCTTTAGATGAAACCTGTGATCCTGAAGCTACTTTATGCTGTCCCCAAATGGAAGGAAGTGGTAGGAGAGTTGGTGTCATCACCAAGCCTCCTACCTACCTTGCTGTCCTTTGGGTACAAGTAGTGGCTCTAGTTTCAGGGACCTCAGTCCTGCAGATACCACATAAACAGCTACTATATGGAAAATCTCTTCCAGGTCCTCACCTGCTCATATGCCATGAATTTGATGGCCGACTCGGGGGCAATTTTGATGACATTGATGCCATTGCCCCGCCAGAGAGACTTGGCTCCCCCTTCCCGAATCATCTGTGTAAATCCGCCGACGATGCACATATTGTTGCTGCGGGAGGCATGGACCTGACGGGGAGAAGAAGTCAGAGGAACTCAGTAGGACTGAGGGCTGCCACTGTCCCCCTTGGGAGGAACACCAGGAAGGCTCCTCCCTATGAATAATCTGAAGAATAACTTAGCATCCCAAGGATTCACCAGGCATGGCTGGATTATTATTACTATTATATTATTATTATACTATGTAGTGCAGGCTGGCCTTGAATTTTCCATCTTCCCAAGTACTAGCATTAGCCGTATGCCCCACCAACCCAGACAGGACAGCTCTTGATCTCTATATATACATCCCTGGAATTCTGTTAAAAACAAAAGTGAGAGGGAACTGTTCAAGTTTCTGCTTTTCACAGAGGCTGTAGAAGGAGAAATGGCTACTTAGGGCCACAGAGCTGGGATGAGGGGCCAACCCAAGCTAGATTAAGCCTAAAGCTCTTCTAAGTCTTTTGCCTCTGTTTCTGGAAGATAGGGAGAGATCCCACTTACTTATGCCCAGGGGTATGGGGTGGCGCCCACAAACCATTAACCCAACTCCATTAGCTGGAGTGGAGAGTTTGAGCTTTTAAAGCAGGGCCCTAGCTGAGAGAGGGAGGGGAACCTGAGCCACCAATGAACCATGGGTAAAATCGATTTCCTGCTCATCTGCATGAGCACCTTTAGTTGGTCCAGGGGACTTCTGGGGAATGTGCTGTTTCTGGGCAGCCCTCCTGGCACAAAAAGTGCCAGAGAGAAGCAAAATGAGGTAACTGGTTACTGTTCAGACAGACACCAAAGTCCATGAGTGTCCACATGTGGGTCACTTCCCAATGCTTCCTCTGACATCAGACAAGCTGATCTCTGCCCTGTGGACGTGGAGTCCCATGCCCTTCAAGCAAGGTAGAGGCACAGCTTCCTGATGGCCTCTAGGTCATGAAAGGATCTGCTTACCCTACCTTCCACAAGGTACCCTATCCATCCTGAGATGTGCTTAAGGAACTCAGGTCCTGCCACACCCCAAGTAACAAGCCCATGTAAGATGATGCATAGCTTATGTTTCTCAGAATAAATTAGACCATCTAAATACAAAGGCCACCTAGGCAGGATCCACTGGTGCCTGCAAAGCATTAACGCCATTAGCTGGGGTGGAAATGTGGGTTTTTAAAGCATAGTCCCTTCCAGTGGGGGTGGGGACCTGAGCTGCCAGCGAAGCCTAGGTAGAGACCTGCCCGCTGCCCTCTCACCTGCATGAGCACCTTCAGTCTGTCCAGGGGAGCAGTGCATGTTCTGGAAACTGCCCCTGCCCCACCTCCGGCCACCAGGTGCCTCCACCACATCCCTGTCTGCCTCTCTTCCACTGTGAACTCATCTGGGACTGTCAGGTTCTCACCAACATCGAAGATCTATGGAGGAAGACAAGCAGAGACATAGCCAACTTTACTCAGGACATCTGTGGCCAAGCTGCTAGCCACCTGGTGACAGTCACTGCCTTCCACCCTCTCAAGTGACCACATAAATGGTGAGGATGGCAAGCACTGAAAACTCACTGGAACTCTTTCTTTTGCTCTGACAGTGGCTGCAGCTCTTGACCTTGTAAGTCGTCTAGAGAGAAGCAGGTAATGATTGGAGGGGAGAGCGTTACAAAGCTGCTGGTTGCTCCTGTAGCTTCCAGCAAGGACTGCAGGAATAGACCACAAGGATCAGGGAAGATGGATATAAGCCTTGCAACCTGATGCAGAACCAGACTGCCGGCAGGACAGAGTGTTATGCAAGGCCTCAGCAAGCATAGTGCTGTGCTGCGTAACACCCTCTCTCTGGAACTGGTCCCAGTCAGCTTTGCTGACCTGTGGGCTGCAGGCCAGAGACAGGCCAGCTGTTCTGAACCCTAGAATCAGCCACTTACTTTCACCCAAGAAGCCCTGACCTAGCTCTTTGGGAGCATGGTGGATAAAGCAGGGGCAGCCCAGCCAAGAACAGCAGAAGTCTTGGGCAGGGGCTTAAGTCAGAATGACATTTCTAACTGTGGAATCACATCTGCATTCCTGAGTTTGCAACCACGTTAACAGTGAAAACAGTATGTAGGCCCCTATAGGGCATGCTTATTAAAAACAAAAACCAAAAAGCCAGAGCCTAACTCTGTAGCCCAGGCTGGCCTTTAACTCATGATGCTCCTCTGTCTCAGCAAGGACATGCTATTTTTGCCATAGAGAGAAACGATACTAAACAAGAAACCCAGGGAAGGCGAAGACATCTGTAGCAAAGTTTCTTCCCCATCCCAAGGACAAAATGTATGCTTCTGGGAGAATGGACCGTGAAGGACAGTGGGGATAGGAAGGTACTCCCAGCAAAGGGCCAAGGGAACAGTCATGCTGTTCAGGCTGGTCAGTGTGTGGAAAAAGGAAGATATGGCTGGCAAAGGGGGGAAACCACATCTTGCTGGCTCAGGCCTGGATGGGGAAGGAATGATTGATGCAGTCAAAGAAGGCTGCCCAAGTGGACAGTGGGTATGTGGCCTCACCGTTGAGTGCTTCCAGTACAGGATGATCTCAGGGATATTCTCCACAGGGTGCAAGAGGTGGTAGTCCCTCCACTCATTCCAGTCGATGGTCATCGTGCCATTCTTATCCATGCTGTAAGGCAGAAGCGTGGTTACTCCTGTGTGTCACACCCCATCTGCCAGCTGTTCACCCCACCACCTGGATGGGACGAAGGTAGGTGCCATGGCCACCAAGGAAACCACAGGCACCTATGTGCCCTTAAGGGTAAGGTGGCTCAATAACCCATTTTCCACAAAATGGAGATATGCTGGCCCACAAGAACCCCACTCTGATCAGGGAGGGAGGCAGTCATGGGGTGAGGTGACATAGATACTTACTAGGTGACAGGGCCCCAGAAGTGGCCCGTTCGTATTCTGACAGACAGACAAAGGAGGATGCAGAGGAGAGAGGAGAAACAACACAAATAAATGCTTTGAGCAGGTTAGTAAAGCAAGCAAACATCCAAGGACACTAGGGGTCAGCACAACAAGAGGACAAAACCTGGGCTCCAGGGGCTGGCTCTCAGTATAGCCAGGGACAAACTGTTCTACTGGCAGAGCTTCCCAAAAGCCCTCTGCCCAGGAGTGAGCCATCTTTCTGGCTAGCATATGTAGCTAGAGAGTGAAGAAAAAGCCACTAGCAGCAACACAAGTCAAGGAGCACACATGGTATAAGTCCCTCTCCATCAGGCAGAGAAAGTGTTCCAGGGACACTTCTCACCAACATGAAATGCCCACAACTCATCTTGTCATTTTAAGGGTCACTGGCAAATGGACTAATTACAGATCTGTGAGTCTTAGAATAGGGCTGCAAACTTTGGGAGAAGCCTGCTTTGGGAAGGGGCTTCTTATTCATCCTTCCAAACCACAGGACCAGTTTCAGGGCAGGCAGCAGGTCAACATGAACAGCAGGCGGATTAGTCCAAAAGCCATTAAAACATCCCACAGAACAGAGCAACACAACCACACTCACCTCTTAAGAATCTTCTCTGCTTGCTGTTCAGAGATCTTGACGCCCAAGTCCCGCAGGGACTGCATGATCTCTTGAGCGTCGATTCGTCCTGTGACGACAAGGGCGGTGAGCAGGGTCTGGCAATTGGTAAGCCTGGGCCCTGCCCAGCAGGGAGCTATAAGCCAAACTCACCATCATTCTTTTTGTCCAGACTCTTGAACACCAGCCTCAGTTTTTTCTCATGATCTTGGAGGTAATGTACAAACTCTTCAAAGTCCAGTTGCCCATCAAGGTCCTTGTCACCTGCTTGCACAATTTTCTAGAAAACCAAAGTAAGAACTTGAGGTTTGTCTCACTAGCCTCTTGTCACAATGGGGAAATAACTGCTCTCCACCCAAGATGTCCTATCTGTAAGTGAAGAGAGGCACTCCCTTGAGGAAGCCTTCAGAGAGGCCAGCAGGGCAGTATGGTGCTTGCCCTTTCCAAGCATCCCCAAGTCCAGCTTGGCTCCCCCTGCAGGGCTGTCCCTGGAACCAGACTTTAGCCCCGGGTTCCTTGCTGAGATGTGGGGATAGTGTTAGAATCCAGATTCCCTTTGGAACTCTGCTACTTCCTCCATCTCCTGTGGTGGCACTAGCCCAATAATAATTTGGTGACCCGAGTGAAGGCACAGATAATGCCTACTTGGCAGATATGTTGCCAGGAACACTCTGGAGGCTGCAGAAGATCCAAGGGCAACTATTCTTGGGCTCATGAAGGCACTGCAAGTCCGGCCCCTGGTCTCAGAGACGTCAAATATAACCAACTGCAGATTCCCAACCAGGTGCTGAAGGCCAGGCCTCTTTACTAGTTAAGTGACCTAAAGGCTTTAAGTGACTCTGTCCCTTGGCAGCACCTGTCTTAGGTTAGCTTTGCTTGGCAGCTGCAACAGCAGCTGGATACAAGGCAGTAGGGGATATGCAAAAGGCTTTACTGAGGCCTCTTCAGCAGCTTGCTCTAGGAAGTACAGCTTATGCTTTCCCACATATTACAAAGCAAGAAACAGCACTTAGATGATGTTCACAGGAGGTCATGGGCAGGACTGTCACATGCATTCCAAATTGCCTTCAGATCTTACTGTCACCCTAAAAGTTCATCTCAAGAACTTGAGAACTCATGGGAAAATATGGATCATTCCAACTCAGTAGCACTTTTAAAAAAATTACATTTAGCCAGGTGTGGTGGTGAGTGCCCAACACTGCAGAGGCAGAGGCAGGTGGACATCTGTGAATTCAAGGCCAGGATGGTCTACACAAATAGTTTCAGGCCAGCCAGAGCTACAGAGTGAGATCCTGTCACAGGGGTGAGGGGTGGGAGGAAAGGCTTTTAAATTACACTATGTATTTGGAGGAGGCATTTTGAATCCAAAACAAGAGAATCTCCTAAGTCAAACATCCCTTGGTTTCCTTATGGACAAATCTACTCACTAGTCAAAAATCAACATGCTAAATCCAAGTGTTTTGAGCTGGCTAGGGTTTAAAAACTGATGGATGACTGGCTGGCTCACACTCCCAAAAGTGGCCATCATGGTTTCCCTCTTACTTAGCACTCTAGCTATTATTTGGGGGCTGAGGGGGGCAGACATAGATTCCCTAGGACCCAACAGTGTGAGGGGTAAGCTGGTATGTGGGACAGATGGAGCAAGCATATGTCTTATCTACTAGCTGGGATTATGTTAACTTCTTGCTAACATCTGTGCTCTTAGTCAAGGATCACTATCCCAGATTTCAGGTAGGAAGGAAAAAGTATATGCCATTTAGAGAAGAGGCATATAGAACACTCTCTAGTCCCCAGGTAGCCTGCCACCAAAGTAATCTGTCCTGGGGTGATGCCCTGTGACACAGACCACCCACAACTGTGCTAACTGTACCCTATTTTTAAAACATTCTCAAAGAACTTGCTCTATACCTGTGGGCAGGGTGGTGCTCCCCTATAATCCTAGCACTAGAGGGGCTGAGGCAGAAGGAATGCTGCAAGTTTGAGGCCATTCTAACTACACACCAAGACCCTATGCGAAGAAAGAAATGCCAAGTGTGGTGGCACATGGCTTTGATTTCAGTACTAGGGAGCCAGAGACAGATCTCCATGAGTACCAGGTCAGCTAGGATAACAAAGACTTTGTCTAAAAAAAAAAAAAAAAAAAAAAAAAAAAAGTAGGGAGGATGGACAGACAGACTTCCTCCCCCTTTACAACTACTCAGACCCACTGTGTCTCCATTCTGCAATCCACAAATCAACACAGTACTGGGGGACAGCATGGATTTTAGTGAATCAAAGTAAACTCCCAAGTCATGGTTCAGTTTCCCATCATACAGGGGCTAGGATCACTGCTACTATCCTGTTTCCTGGGGGCACCTAAACATTTAAAAGTCCAGGAGGGAATGCTGCCCTCTATATCCTGCCTTTTTCCTACTCCGGTGTTTTAGCCCGGGCCCCAGAGTCATAGGAACTGCCCAAGCAGTGAGACAGGCCAGGCTTTGCCGAAACCCTGTACATTTTAGGAGACCCCACCTCAGCCAAAGAGAAGGGCTCCTACCAGAGATTCTACCTCCTACAAGTGCCTTCACTCCCAGGTCCAGCCTTTCTTGGAAAGTACACAAAGACCAGTCATTCCCATGATATGACACAGACAGACACAGAGGGCTGGGCAAACACCTACATTTCAGACATTCTTTCCTCTAGGCAGGGAAGTCATACCTAGGTACCATTCATCTTTTCACTCAAAACCCCCCCCTGTCTGCTGCCCCTCACCACACTGGCTCAGCATACAGACCTGCTTCCATTGTCGGTAGGTGGAGAACTCCTGCGAGGGGATAAAGACACTGAGTTTGAAGATGGATTTCAGCTCTGCGGGAAGCCCCTTGGATTCAAAGTACTGGAATTCAGTTTGGGCCTCCCCAATGATCGGCACATACAGGCACAGGCAGAGCATGCTGGTGAGACTGGGTGCTCAGGCACCAATGGGAGCAAGTGCTGGCAGAAGTCAAGAGTGGGAAATGCTGGAGTTCCCAGGAAAGTGGCACAAGATATACCTTGCTTCAGCTGTCACTAGCTGCTTAAGTCCTGCCCTTTTACTTAATTGAAAAAAAAAAAAAATCCGCCCACTGTAAGTGAAACCAGCAGCCAATGAGCACAGGTCCCAGCAGCTGGCAGTATCAGGTTGCTCAAGAGCAGAGGAGCAAAGATCAGTACTAACGTCACTGCTTACAGATGTTAACTCTTGGAGCCCAGGCAGCAGGCACTACCTAGGGTTGTAGTCCCATGCCCAAACAAACCTTCACCCCTGGCTGTCAACCCCTGAAAATAAACAAACAGCCAACAGTCTGTTTTCATACAAGGTCCCCAAATGCGTCACATGTGCAGCTTTCTCCTCTTAGTAAATAATTCCCACTGAAAATTCAGTTGAAATAGAGGCTGAATCACAGCCCATTAAGAACTGACCCAGGCTACTGAGAGAGGAATCTGAGAGCCACATCCCCAGCTTTCCTGGAACACACACCCTACAACCCACAAGCACACAGTACCTGGGAACCACTTCTATCAATCACTGGGGTTAGCGAAGAGTGAGACTCACAGTCCTCAAAGCCCATGCCCACTCAGAGCACTTGAAAACCTGGTCTGATCATAACTTTAAGAATTCTGCTGTGCCACCCTGAAGCCTTTTAAAATCAACTACAATTAAATGAGCCAAGCATAATGGCTCAAACTACAGTCCCAGCATTTTGGGGACTGAAGGAGGATCTCCTCTTTGAGGCTCTAAACTACATATTAAGACCTTGTCTCAAAAAATGGGGTGGGATGGAGGCTTAGAGGTAGAATGCTTGTGAGCCACACTGAAGGCTCTGGGAAGTGCCTGAGAGATGAGTAAAGCACACCTCTGGGTGTGTCCATGTAATTCCAGAGAAGACTAGCTAAGCGGAGAGGGAGAGAGGTCCTACCCGGGACAGGATGGGGCTCCAGATGGAGTAAAGGGTGAAAGGGTGAAAGGGTGAAAGCTTGTTCTCTCCTCTCTCTGCCTCCTGGCCATCATGATGGGTTAAAAACAGGAGCCAAAACAAGTCCTTCCTCCAGAAACTGCTTTCACAGCAACACAAATCTGATTGGTTGCTGGGCATGGTAACTCAGGCTTGTGCTTGGGAGACTGATGCAGGCAGAAGGACTGTTGAGAGTTCAAAGCCAACCTGGGCTACAGTGTAAGACTCAAACACTAATCTCAAAAGCTAATAAAATGACTAGCACAAGGCTTACTCACCAGCAAGAAGAGAGGGGGAGAATGGAATTAAACTGGACCCCTCACCTACACAAATACTTGTCATGTGGTTGTATTTGTAATGTATCCCATTATTGCCAAATCCATTGACAGCCCAGGTCTAGAGCCACACTTTCAGAAGACAGAAGACCTCTGGAAGGAGGATCTGATTTCTGATTTTATTTTTAAATTGCATTATTTTTAACTGCATTTGGGTGTGTGTGGTGTGCTGTGCACAAGCCATTTGCATGCAGATGTCCTGAAGGCCAGAGGCACTGGATTCTTTGGAGCTAGATGGTAGGAAGAAGCCTGGTGTGGGTGCTCTGAAAAAGCAGCAGCACGTGCTCTTGCTGCTGAGGTGTCTCTCCAGCCCCCAGACACATCATTCCCTACATGCCAGCCTGCGCTCTCTACCCATTCCTTCCTTCCCTACAGATGAGAGTTGCTGAGGGTGAGATTACATCACTATGACAGGCAGGATCAGTCCCACCCCCATTCCTTCTAAGGCATATCCTTTATCCCTTCATCCCTTCCTAATATAGACTAAGCCTTGTCACTTCTGGGAGGGATTAAAATGGATAGTTACCATTTGGTGATCAGCAAAAGTTAAAGGCTTTCAACTCCAAAGTGTTTTGTTAAGAATTTGTGAAGATATGTGCCTTTAATCTCAGCACTCAGGACATAGAATAAAGCTGCTAAGATTCTAGACTAAGATACTGTTGTATCATTGTGTATAACACTGAAACAGAATCTAACAAAGGAGAAGGCATTTTGGGTTTCCTGAGACTTAAGATTGTAAGTCCAGACCTTGGTGTGAACTGGATCTGATGAGGAGGCAATATCCAGGCAGATTCCTGCTCAGATTCAGCCATCTCTGAAACTGTCCAATCTAGAACATTCTGCTTTGGAGCTATTTTAACACACATCTTAACTCTACTGTTGGGGTCCTAAAGACAGAAGCCTATAGCTTCAGACCCTGCATGCCCTGGCCCTCACCTCTTGCTTGACTCACAAATGGGGTTTTGCCAGAAGTTTTTGGGTGAGGGCTGATGAAATAACTCAGCAGGTAAAGCTGCTTGCCACCAAGCCTACCACTTAGTTTGATACCTGGGACACATGGTAGAGAGAACAGATGCCTCTCAGTCATCCTCCAACCTACACACATACACATACACACACACACACACACACACACACACACTAATAATAATAATAATAATAATAATAATAATCATAATCATAATAATCATAATAAAGGCCAGGTGGTAGTGGTGAAACACTTTAATCCCAGCACTTGAGAGGCAGAGGCAGGCGGATCTCTGTGAGTTCTAGCACAACCAGAGCTACACACAGAGAAATCCTGTCCCCCCCTCAAAAAAAACCCCAGATAGATAGATAGACAGACAGACAGACAGACGGGCTAGTGAGATAGCTCAGTGGTTAGAGTATTTGCTGTTCTTCTAGAGGACCTGGGTTCAATTCCCAGCACTCACATGGTGGCTCATCTGTAACTGTAGTTCTAGGGGACCTAATAGCCTCTTGAAGCCTCCAAGGGCACCAGGCATGCCCATGCATAAACATACATACATATGAAATGCTCATATATACATATGCATATAGTAGAAATTAACTAAAGAGAAACTTCCTTTACTATAACAAAGGTCATTATCTTGTACAGACCAATAGTTTTGAAGAGGCAAGGAATGTTCTCTGAAATGTTCTGCAAGTGGCTGTCAACATACCTTTTTACAATGATGTATCAATTCTATTCCAACATTAGTTAGGGACTGAATCCAGGGCCTTGAGTGCTAGGCAAGTGCTCTACAATTGAGACACACCTACAGGTCCAACGTAAGTTGGTTTTGGTTTTGAGACAGTTTCTGTATGTAGCCCCGGCTGGTCCTGGACTCAGAATCTTCTACCTTGGCCTTCCAAGTGCTAGCATTACAGAACTGAAACACCATCATTATTTAGCTTAAGAAACCTTGGAACATTTTTCTTTTGAACATGGACTGTTCAGCAGAGGCCAAGCATGGTGGCACTTATCTGACTCTATATCCCCAGGAGACTAAGTTGGAGACTAGCCTGGGCTACACAAGCAGACAGACTTTGTTGTTATGCCCACACCTTATTCCCAGAAAGAAAGCAAAGTTAAGCAGAGGTCTTCACACAATAAGCCTGGTGCTTAACTAAACACCCACCTTATAATTCAGAACTCCATCTTCAACACAGAAATGGACTCTTCCAGAAAGAGTCTATCTCTAGGTGCCTGATGTTTGAGGCAAATGCTGTGTCCTGGAACTTCAGACTGTAGGCCACTAGGTGCTGCAGACAGCCATCTCAGTCCTCTCTGCCTAGAGGAAACCTCCCTGCTGAATCACCTGGCTTGCCCAAGTCCCCAAGCCTATGGGTGACAGAACTCAGGCTTACAACCAGGGCCAAGTTTCTGTTACAACAGCCACTTACAACAGTACACAAAGCCAATTCCACAGGAGGAAGATTTGAAAGCCCAGTTTCCAGGAAAGACCTGGAAGCCCACTTAAACTCCATGAGCAACATCACATTGCAAATGTGAGCCACACATGAGGCACAGGCAGCAGACTCGGGCCCTACTTGTTATTCCAAGGCAGCTCATGGCCCTTGGGACCAGACGACAGCACACCGTGCACTTGTCTGCTGTTCCCTCACTCTATCTAGTTCAGCGACCCAGATCTGTTTCCTGTGCTCTGATGCCCATTCCTATGACTAATGTATGAAAACAATGGCAGCAGCACTAGTGGCATCAAATTTCACTTAATAGGTAAAGAAGCAGTTCTTTTCATGAGCATCTTGCCACTTTGATCTACCACGACCACCGTCAGCTTTCCTCATCCTGCCACTCCATCACATGCCCAATCCCCCAAGCAGGAACTTCCAAAAGGACAGGGACACACTAAGAGGGCAGGTACAGTGTGCCTCTGGGAGTGTAGCACTGGGTCTGAAAGTAACTCACTGCTCCTCTGCAATGACTCAGACCAAGCCAGGAGTATTGTGTGAAGGAGCCTGGTAAGCTCCACCCTCAAGGCTCTCAAAATCTCATTGGCTGCTCTGTCGTTTTTATGATCAGGTTGCCATGACAGCCCAGCGTAGCAGGTTTCCAATGAAACTTGCCTACACTTGGTAATTACACACACAATGAGAACAATCCTGAAGGGCCCCTCAGGATCTAAGCTCTACTGTGCAAGGGCACCTCCCACTCCAGACAAATGGCTTTCTTTCCCAACTTTCGGATTAACTGTGAGACAAAGATAAAGAGGAAACTGGAGCAGTTCCTATAATAAGAGCCTGCAGGAACCCGACTCACAAACACATATTTACGTGTGAGAATGAAACAGTAGTGCAGTGGACGACCGAGAACTAAAGGTTCTCCAGACTGCTTCCCAAGCTTGCAGGGGGCTTCCTGCTGAGCAAGGTGGAGGCGGATCCATCTGCACTTGGTGCAGTGTAAACGCTGTTTCCAGTCTTCATTACACTGCTCAGAGGTGCTCTCTTGCTCTGACCTCCCTTTTGCCCTCCCCATGAAGCCTACCAACCCATTTCCCCTCCAGAAACAGAGCCACTAGACGACTTGCGTCTCTGCAGGCCAGGCTAGAAAGTCATACCCAAGGCAATCCCTCGAGGCAAACCTGGCAAGGGTATCCACAGGAAGCTAGGAAGTAGAACAGTTGATTACTAAAGTTTAAACAGTGCAGGACAGAAGATGTGCAGGGCTC